TTTTTTTTTTTTTTGGTTTTTACGAGACAGGGTTTCTCTGTATTGTTTTGGAGGCTATCGGTCCAGCCCGGCCTCGAACTCACAGAGATCCGCCTGCCTCTGCCTCCCGAGTCCTGGGATTAAAGGCGTGCGCCACCACTGCCCGGCAAAAATCCTCCGTTTAAATTCTAAGTCCCACTCACTCCTTTTGTTCCAGCACTCAGCTGGCAGAGACGGGCAAATCTCCAGGAGTTCACAGAGAGCGGTCCAGAGCAGCAGGATGGCACAGTTAGCCCCTGTCTAAAATAAATAAGTCCTCAAGCTCTTTTTTTTATTATCTCATTTGATCTTCAGGATCACCCTGTGGATGATGATGAATAAAATGCTCACCCTCACATCGTAGAAAAGGCAATTGGGACCCAGGGTGTATGGGAAAGCCTTGCTCATACATTTGAGAATGAGGGTTACTCCCACTGCCTGAAACGGCCTTTCTTCTGGACGTGTAGCATGAGCAGAACAGTTTTGTCTGTCTCTTGGCAAAACACTGATCACACACAAAACATGCTCAGGTTCTAGTTGAATGTTGACTCACATAACTATTGCTCCTCAAGCATTGAAAGGAACAGGAAGCCCCAGCAAGGAGGGCACACATTCAATCCCAGCACTCAGGTGGATCTCTGTGAGTTTAAGGTCAGTCTGGTCTACAAAGTGAGTTACAGGCCAGCCAGGGTCACACATGGGACCCTGTCTCAAACAAACAAGGAACCAAGAAGAATATTCCAGACAGGTAGAAGATCAACCCTGACAGGAAGGACTGCAATCATGAAGCTTAGTGCTCCCACAACATAATTTCAAAGTCTGGAAAGCAAAATGGAGTCAACTACAAAAAAACAAAAAAACAAACAAACAAAAACAAAACAGAAAGAAGCTGGGCAGTGGACATGTCTTTAATCCCAGTACTGAGGAGGCAGAGACAGGTGGATCTCTGAGTTTAAGGCCTGCTTGGTCTACAGAGTGAGTTCCAGGACAACCAGGGATACATGGAGAAGTCCTGTCTCAGAGAGAGAGAGAAGTCATGCAGATTTTTAGACATCTCTCAAAGACTGATGCGGCAACTAGCAGATTTTAAACATGTTTCTCTCAGAACCCCTCTAAGTACATACTTTCTGAATCCCAACTGGGGATCACGACCTGCGCCTGTAAACACATCATTCAGGAAGTGGTGGAAAGAGGACGGAGGCTCAAAACCCTCTTCAGCTATGAGGACAGTTCAAGGCCAGTCTGGCCCTATGAGCCTGTTATCAGTCAATTAATCTTTTAGAATCCCAAAAAGTGATTTACAGCTTTGTTTTTGTTTTTCGAGACAGGGTTTCTCTACGTAATAGTCCTGACTGTCCTGGAACTCGCTCTGTAGACCAGGCTGGACTCCAGCTCACTGAGATCCGCCTGCCTCTGCCTCCTGAGTGCTGGGATTAAAGGCTTCCACCACCACCACCTGGCCAGTATTTGAAATTTAAGATAAGAAAAAAATCAAATTAATTAATTCTGCCAATAAATCATTGTATGGGCTGGAGAGATGGCTCAGAGGTTAAGAGCAGTGGCTGCTTTCACAGAGATCCTAAGTTCAATTCCCAGCAACCACATGGTGGCTCTCAGCCATCTGTAATGAGATCTGGTGCCCTCTTCTGGTGTGAAAGCATACATGCAGGCAGAACACTGTATACATAATAAATAAATAAATCTTTAAAAAAATAAGTCATTGTATGCTAACATAAACAAACTTCATGAAGATAACTATGTTTTTTCAAACGAGAGGAAAAAACCACAATGCCCTGGGAAGAGGAAGCGTGGCATTATTTTACAGTTTGTAAATCCCCTTAATGAACAGGCTAATAGAGGCCAGCTGGACTCTTCTGTCTGAGTCTGCATCCAATTTGCTGCCACATGTGTTTTGACTGAACTATATGATAAAAATTTGGCCTCGCACAGAAATGTAGTTGGAAAAGGAAGCAGTGTTTTAATGGCCTTTGCAGATAATTATAGATATCTTCTTTGATATCACCCCAAAATAGCATATGGGCTATATGTTCATTATAATAATAATATGTAATCTGAAGGCTGTTAATAAACATTTTTATTCCATTGTCTCAAATTCCATTGATTTATCTTGCACTTTAAGTAACTAAAATTATGTACAATTTTGACTTTGTACATCCTCTGAAAAGACTGGTGATTTGAGATCCATTGAATAAACAATAAAAATATAGAAAATTGTAGGAGTTTATAAAAAGACAATTAGAAACAATTAGACAATTAGAAGTGGTGGTGCATGCCTTTAATCCCAGCACTTGAGCCACAGAGGCAGGCAGATCTCTGTGAGTTCAAGGCCAACCTGGTCTACAAAGCAAGTTCCAGGCTCCAAAGCTATACAGGGCAGCCCTGTCTCACAAAACAGAACAAACATACACACACACACACACACACACACACACACACACACACAAACCGATTAGAAGCATCTTAGATGCAAGAGACATCTACACAAAAAAATTTTTTTGAACAAAAGATCTCTACCAGCTGAGGTAGCATGAACCTAGACAGCTGTACACATCCCAGGACTGGCAGATGCCATGTGTGCCAAGTGTTCGACGTAGCTGCCTAGACCCTAGGTTCACCTCATCAAGGAGAAGCACCACATCAGAAAGCAGCCTCGACTGCCCAGCCACAGAGCCAGGGGAAGGGCTGGTCACAGAAAGAGACTGCCTTGAGCAGCCCAGCGCACCCTGGCTGCATCCCTTATAAAGGGCTTCCCCTTGCTGTCATCATGCATGCATGTCAGGGAGCCTCAGGCCTCCCCACATCAGAGCTGGCAGGTAAAGAAGGCGCATGACCCTCTCCAAGGAGGAACCTGAGCTGCCAGGCCCAGACGCGCCTGCTTTCTGGCCATGTGTGTTGACCTTACATAACTGGCCACAAGAACAATGCCCCGCTCTGTCCAGGTCACCCATAGCGATGCCAAGAACAACCCAGCCAAGCCAAGAGGTCCAGGAGCCAACACCTTACACACCACCTGGGAGACCCAAGGCCGCTGTGGTGTCCACAGCCACACCAACCCTACAGCATACAAGATGGTCAAAAGATGGCCAGGCCCAGAGATGAGGCAGGGAGTGGGTCACAGAGAGCAGTTCCATCCTCAGAGCTCAAATCAGAGTCCTGTCCAAGGCATCCTAGGGGATGTTCACAACAGCCCAAAGACTGTTTCCATGAACATCGGACTTTCCCAGGCGCTCTGTACGTGTGGGCACTACATGAGGCCATCCATCATCTCCTTTGGCCATTACAATAGCTTCAGTGGAAGTCCCACCTTATAACGAATGCAGGAGACTGAAAATCGAATCACTCTTAGCTCCCGAGGCTACATAGGGAGTTGGGGAAGAAGACCAGAATTCAAACCTAGCTTTCTGATGTAGTCGGCGTCTTTCACATTACTACCCTACACAGCTTGGCTCTGGGTGACCCGCCTTCACCCTCTAAATTGTCACCTTGGTGCTGCACATAAAGGAAGAAAGGGTAGGAACACTCCCAGCTGGCTCTGCCCGAACTCAACTATGTCAACCAGGACATCAGAGGCATCCTGTGCCACCCTGGACTGTCTTCCTGGTCCTTTCTTGTCTCCTCTGCTCTGCCTGGTGTCTTGTTCTCACAGCTACATCAATATGTGTTGGGTGGACACTAAGGCATGGCCGCCACCTGTCTCTACTACCTCCGCATGGGCCTATTGATTGGAAGCCAGGAGCCCTAGAAATATCGGGGAGCAAAGAAAAAAGGTAAGGAGTACTTGGAAGAAGCACTCCTTACAGTACAGCCAGCCTCCTACCCCACCCCACCCCACTCCACCCCACTCCACCCCACCCCACCCCACCCCACCCCACCCCACTCCACCCCACCTCGCCCCACCCCACCCCACCCCACTCCACCCCATCCCACCCCATCCCACCCCACCCCACCCCACCCCACCCCATCCCACCTCACCCCATCCCACCCCACCTCACCCCATCCCACCTCACCCCAACCCACCCCACCCCACCTCACCCCACCCCACTCCACCCCACCCCACCCCACCCCACAACACCCCACTCCCAAAACCAAGCTCTCTTAGGATGCTCCTCCCCAGAGGGGAAGCCAGAGGTCAAGTAGATTCACAGTCTCCTCCCACAAGCCACTGCTTCAGTTTGTCTCACAGGAAAGTCAAGGAAGACACAGCCCAGACTGAAAAAAAACAAAAACAAAAACACCAAGCGTAGGGGCTAGATGAACTAAATGAGATTGTTCATGAAATGTGCCTACAATGGTCTCCAAGCACAGTTGGCGCCCACTGAATGTGAACGTCCATTAGAAAGGCGTTGATAAGATTCCGCAGTGTGGCACAATGCCCACAGCACATTAGTAGGAGCTCATTAAATAGGAGTCAAAATCCCCTTCACCCACCCCTTGACCTCCATGTCTGGGTCTTAGCCATCTACTATCCCCAGCAGGCTGCTAGGTGCCTGACTCTGGGCAGAAGCTCAGTGGATACTTGAAGACCTCAGGGTGAAGCTCTGCCCCTTGGCCAGAAGGGCGTGGATGGTCAAGAGACTCCGGTATCAGACAGGAGTAATGAAGGTGTTAGGGAAGGGAAACCAGAGCTGAGAAGGCAAGGGCCGAGGCAGAGAGATAAGCAGGTGAAGTGAGTGAGAAAAGGAACAGGAGAGACTGAGGCGGAGAGAGATAAGAAGGATGGAGAAGAGGCCAAGGGTGAGGAAAATGCCGAGCTCCAGGAAGAGGCACAAGGAGAGGCCTGGGCTGCGGCAGGGGAGTAGTTGACCGACCAGGGTCGCAAGGTGGGGCGGGGCGGGAACGGACCAGAACGGGGCGGGAGGGACACCAGGGTTCCTCCCAGGTCCGCCAACCCGGGGCGGGGGTAGTGTGGGGGGGACCAGCGGCTGCAGATTGGCCAGGGCGCAGCGAGGTCTGGGCTGGAGCCCCGATGTGGGAGGCGCCTGGATCACTCCGGAGCAGAGGCTGCCACCTACTTGGACGGCCAGAGCAGCCGGGACGGCTGCAGGGAGCATCCCGGCCGGGGTACACACGGAGCAGCCAGACGCCGAGCACCGAGCCGTCGGGGAGGGCGGCAACATCCAGCCATGCCGGTGGCCGGGGGCGCGCAGACGGCCGCGCTGGCGCTGCTGCTCGGGGCGCTGCATGGGACTCCGACAGGCGGCCAGGAGTACGACTACTACGGCTGGCAGGCTGAGCCGCTGCACGGCCGCTCCTATTCCAAGCCACCGCAATGCCTCGACATCCCCGCCGATCTGCCGCTCTGCCACACGGTGGGCTACAAGCGCATGCGACTGCCCAACCTGCTGGAGCACGAGAGCCTAGCCGAGGTAAAGCAGCAGGCGAGCAGCTGGCTGCCGCTACTGGCCAAGCGCTGCCACTCGGACACCCAGGTCTTCCTCTGCTCGCTCTTCGCGCCCGTCTGCCTAGACCGGCCCATCTACCCGTGCCGCTCGCTGTGCGAGGCCGTGCGCGCCGGCTGCGCGCCGCTCATGGAAGCCTACGGCTTCCCCTGGCCCGAGATGCTGCACTGCCACAAGTTCCCCCTGGACAACGACCTCTGCATCGCGGTGCAGTTCGGGCACCTGCCTGCCACTGCGCCTCCAGGTAGCGCCACCAGGGCCCCGAGTGCCCCAATGGTCCCGCGGGCCAGCAACCTGGGATCGGACAGATGTCTCTCCCCAAACCCTTACCTGCACGCCCGGATAGGTGCCAAGCCCCTACACGCACATACGTCCAGCGCCCAGTAATTGTCTCCGTTCTTTGTGAAATTGAGTCTGGGTGTATCCCTGCTGGTTCTCTGCCGACTCTGATCTGTGCCTCGTGCAGTTCATGACACGCCTGCTTTCGCAAGCTGCTGAATCCCTGGGTACCCTGGGGGCGTCCCCATAAATGCCTTATTGCCTTCCTTGTCTGAGCAATGCTTGGGGTCGCTAGACAATGTCTTTGAACTGAACTGCAGGCACCCAGGCAAGACCATTCCTCCCCAATGACGCGGGAACTTGGGGAAGAGACGGGTGGCTGGGGAAGAACTGAGGTCCTTTCGTTTCTGTGCCTGGAACCCTAATGTCTCCAATTCCTAGTCTGGATATCTTTGGGGTACTTAACTTTTCTGAGCCTCCTTTCCCCAGCAGTAAAATCCCAGCTTCTTGAGCTCCCAAGTCCTGCTTCCCACTGGCACCTCGGTACGATTATTGCCATCATGCCTGGTTGCTGCTTGATCTCAAACCTGTCCCAAGGTTGGAGGCCACATCCCCTCCTCCTCTTCCCAGATGCAGGCCCCCTTCCAAACCCCTAACACCCCATCCAGGATGACACCCAGCAGTCCATCTTTGCCTGGACAGTTAGCATGGGAGAGAGAGAGTTCCCATGAGCCCCCATGGCTGGAACAGGCAAAACTCCATTCCCTTTTATCTCCTCTCCCCACTCCCCACAAAGCATCTGGGCCCCTCCTTGAGCCACCCATCCGCTCTCCCAAAGCTCATGTTAACTGCTTAATCCTAGGATGATCTCGCCTTCTCCCTCTCCGTGGAGCTCTGGGAGGGGAAATTCCCTATCCTGAAGGCTGAAAAGTTACAGGCAAGCAGGAATAGGGCCAGCTAAGCAAGATATCCACGGTCCCCAGAAGTCCCTACAGGTTCCTTTTATAGTTTCTTTGGAGCCCAAACAAGAACAGCTTGAGACATCAGGAATCTTAGGCTCAGAACCCTGCTGAGCCCTGCCTTGCTACCCCATGACTCCCTCTCCCAGCGAGGCCCGCTCACCTGGGGGCAGGCACATAAGAGAATCCAAACAAAGGTCAGATTGGGGGGGGGGTGGACAATGGGCAAGCTATAGAAAGGTGTCTATGTGAGCAACAGGTGACATTCAGATGTTTTAAACAAAAATGAGTCATTCGGGCTTCCTTTGAGAGTCTAAGTTAAAGCTGGCTTTGCTCTGCTGGCTACCTGCCTGTCTGACCCCTGCAAACACATCTGCCCAGGCTGTAGAGCAGAAGCGCAATTGTGAGCCCTAAGCTCTGCTCCCTGCATTACCCACAGTACACCTGTACTCCTTTGCTGTAAGTAGAAAAGGCAGTGCCCCCTTCACAAGCAGAGTATTAGATGGAACACCATGTGTATTATGGGGGCAGCTGCCTTGGGGAAACAATGCCCCCCTCACCTTATTGTCCCTGCATTATATGATCTCTTGAGTTGATAGCCACAGACTGAGTCATTGTCATCGTCCCCTTTCCTGGTTAGGAATCACAGGGCAGCCTTTGTGAGGTTAATGGAGGAACCTGTACTGACCTCTCTGCTCTCTCTCTTCAGTGACCAAGATCTGTGCCCAGTGTGAGATGGAGGATACTGCTGATGGCCTCATGGAGCAGATGTGCTCTAGCGACTTTGGTGAGTATGGGCTCACAGGACCACAGCCCTAACAGGTGCCCAGCAGCATGGCTTAGAACCAGCCCCACCTGACTAAGGCACTGTCCACGAAGAGGCCTCCATGGCTGGTACAAGCTCAGCCAGAGATGAATGGGGCCCTCAGAGGGCACAGGACTCCAGGGTGGAAGTCCCCTGTCCCCTGGAATCCCTGCTGAGTACCCAGTGGTCCTCTGGCTGAGCCTTTTGTGACTAGCTTTCCCCACAGCTTCATCTTGGGCCCTTCCTCTCCTGGGAGAGCTGAACCAAGCCAGTTAGATCCAAGCTCACTGTGGGCCAGAGTTCTGCATGTGATCTTTGCAGAGTTGGTTCTGTTTTGTGTCCTAACCTCCTCATCTATAAAAACAGGGGAAAGAGCAATGATGAAATCCTTACTTCAGCTGCATCTTTATGTAGGTAGCCTCTGGAAAGAAAATGCTATTATCATTGCAGGGGAGGGAAAAGGGAGAGGAGGTTTTAAGCCAATTCCCTGAGTAGGCCAAGTTATTCTAGTCTCTGACTTCTTGAGAGATGGAGGCTAGCTGTAGAAGGGTGAAGCTGGCCAGAGGGTCCTCAGCCCACAATGCCTGTCCCTATTGTATTGGGTCTCTGTGGTCACTTGTGAGTGGCCTCAACTATGACTCAAGCCACAGACCAGGACTTTACCTCCCTACCCTGGACACTGACTTACACTCCTACACATACCACAACAAACTTCCACACAGACATACCACATACATTCTTGCCCACGCTATATGACCCCCCCCCTCACACACACTGATCTTAATGGGATTTGGGCTCCAGAACTCAGGCAGAAGACACCTTTCTCATTTCACCCATTTCACCTATTGTACTTGAAGCTGAAAGCCTGCCTACGATGTCCATGGAAGTCCAGCCCATAGGAGCTTCCTAAACATTGCTGTAACATGGGGAGTCTGGCCATCCAAGCCCCACACCTCAGCAGGCTTCCCAAGAGTGTCCTGGTATCAACTTAGGGCTCCCGCTGTCCTGAACAAATGTGACACTTTTCAGACCACCCCTTGCCCATCCTTTCCACAGTGGTTAAGATGCGAATTAAGGAGATCAAGATAGACAATGGGGACCGGAAGTTGATTGGAGCCCAGAAGAAGAAGAAGCTGCTCAAGGCAGGCCCCTTAAAGCGTAAAGACACCAAGAAGCTGGTCCTGCACATGAAGAATGGCGCGGGCTGCCCCTGCCCACAGCTGGACAGCCTAACAGGCAGCTTCCTGGTCATGGGTCGCAAGGTGGAGGGACAGCTGCTGCTCATGGCTGTTTACCGCTGGGACAAGAAGAATAAGGAAATGAAGTTTGCAGTCAAGTTCATGTTCTCGTACCCCTGTTCCCTCTACTACCCTTTTTTCTATGGGGCAGCCGAACCCCACTGAAGGGCCTCCTCCTTGCCCCAGCCAGCCAGCTGTGCCTTGCTCTCTGTCCCTACCCACCTGGCCTCACCCCCACCCCCAGGCTGACCCAGCCCCTGGCAAAGGTGGCTTCATGCAGCTACTACTTGCACAGGCGCCAAAGGACAGGCATGGGGCTACCCTCCTTGACTGAAGGGTCCTGGAATCCTGGGGTCTACTAGGAGCTCCCTCTCTCAGGAGAGGCGCTTTCTCCTCAGTGGGTGGGGGGGGGGGTGTCTGAGAAAGCAGGCGAAGGAGGAAAATGTGAAGGAAGGGCCTCCTGCAGCCTGGGGAGGGCGTTTCCAGAAAGAGTAGTGGGTCTCACCGTTAAGGGGGCCTCAGTGCTTAAAGGACGGTCTTCCTCCCACACTACCCCTTTATGTGTCATGACGGCGTCCATGTCTTCCAGCCACACCCACCTCTCATCTGGAGCCCCGCTGGACAGGAGCACCGCTCAGCAGCTTCTGCAGACTTTGTCACACAGGCGTGCTTCCCGGCTCTTGCCTCAGCCCTCCACACCCCTTGTCCCAACCACAATAAATTATTGCTACTGCCGCAAGGCCACTGGCTTTAGACAACAGGTTTGGTTCTTAATATTTTTTTACGTTTTTAATTAAATAAAGAAAACAATTGTTGCTGTGGACCAGGTAATTTCTTTATCCAGTAGCTAAGAAGAGGCTGGGAGATAGGGGATTTCAAATGACGTAGAGTGAGTGCTGATATCCTAAGCCAAGCTTGGTCCACTGACCTCCTTGGAAAGCCTAAGAAAGACAATATTCCCCAAGAACATAAGGTGGGGGTCACCCTCACCTCCCAACCACTAAGTGAGAGACAGAGATAACCACCCTTTGTCCCTGAGGAGGGACAGAAGTGCCACATTTCCCAACTGATGCCATAGTCAGGAGACTCCTAGCCTGCCCCTACTGGGGCAGTCCCAGGTCAGAAGGGTCCAAGACAAGGCCAGACCACAGGGAACAATGTCACGTCTTCCCTGGGGTTCCCAGATACTCCTGGGCACTAGTCCTGACACGTAGGGGGCAGACGCTTTAGACTGACGCTACTCTAAGCATGCTCTGGGACCAGCTGCAGCTGTGTCATCCAGGAGCTAGTTAGAAACACAGAATCCGGAGGGCTAGGAATGCCTGCCACTCAAACAGAGAGCGCTTGCCTGGGAATCTGGACACTTGAGCCCCACCCGAACTTGCCATAATAGAAACTGCCTTGTTATTTTTAGAATATTACTGGGGATCAAACCTAAGAATCTGCATTTTAACACATAAACCTTAGCCCATCTACTGAGTGTTTAACAAATGCTGGGCCCCAGTCACATGCAATGCAAACAGGACCTCTGCCAAGCACCAAAAACCCAGGTTTTTGCCACCTAGTGGCATGCGGGGTTTGGGAGCCATTGCCAGCATAAAGAAACTTACAAATAGAGAGAGAAGGCTGGGGTCCACACAGCCACTTTAAGGTACAGAGCAGGAGTGGGAGAAGGCTTGGAAGGAAGAGGCCACTGCCATGCAAATGACCAGCATGCAGAAAGAGCTCACTGTGGGGACCAGGTGGGGCCCCTTGGCAGATGTGCAAAGTTCAAGCCGATGTCCACAGAGCAGGGGACAGACACCCTGAGAGCCTTTCCAGGCCAGCAGAGGTAGTCAAGGCCCGAGGATCCTCTTAACACAGGAACCACCCGAGGAAGGAAAACTCTAGATTCCAGTTCTGAAAATGTACTCCCTTGGAAAGAAGTCACCTGGGCAAACAGAAGTGGTGGCCTGGACAGAAAGGCCACTGGCTGGCATTGACTAAGGTGACCAGTGGAACTGCCCTCCACGGGGGCATCACTAACAGGTGGCCTGACCACTTGTCCATACGTCACCTCTGGGCAGTCAGGTGGCTCTGCCCAGGCCGCAGAAGCCTAATTGTTCCTCCTCAGGCAGAGGAGGCTGTTGCGTCCCACCCTGCCCAAACCCTGCCCAGCGCACCCAGCTCCCTGAATCTGTCCCTTGTCTCCAGGCCTCCTGCTCTAACCAAATATTTACAGGCACTTCTCTGGTCCACCAGGCAGGGATTATTTTTCCACCAAGCACACAGGCCTGGGGCTGCAGTACAATGCTCGTCTCTGTCAGGTGCTGGCAGCAGGCAGTGGTGGTAGGAGAGGGCTCCCTTAGCCCAGTCCATGGAGCCCGGGAAGGCCCTCCCTACCACCCCAAAAAGGGACCTGGCCCTGTGCCCTGCCTAGAATCTCTTCTGGAATGGAGAGGAATTCTCCCCAAGGCCAGGGAGACTCTGCAAGGCCTGGGCCAGTTTTCTTTACCTGGTCCTACTGGCTGCAATGATTTCCCTCCCAAATGGCAGGAGCCCACCCACACCCAGAGTCAAGGGACCAGTGAAGGCAAGCCTCTGATACCTGAATAGAACCGAATCCCCCTGGCACATGGGACCTCTCCACACAAAAGGTCTAGAAGCAGGCAGGTGTGCGTTGGGGATGTCCCAGGCTCAGGACGTCTGCAGTTCCTAGCATTACAACACAGTCCTCTTCCCAGCTGCCATCCCCTTCCAGACAGCAAAGCATAAAGTCAAGTCAGAAGCCTCTACCCCTCCTGAGCAGGCAGGCAGCAGGCACACAGCCGGCAAGCAGGCCCGCCTGATAGACTTCCATTCCAGCTCCAGGCCAGGTAAGTCACATGACCACTCGCAAGAGTGCAGAGTGCAGAAAGCCAAGGGGTTTGTTCGCTTCAAAAATACACTCCTAGGTGGTATTAAGTTTTTAAGGTTTGTTTTATGTATGGGTACTCTATCTGCACATATACCTGCTCACCAGAAGAGGGCATCAGATCCCATGATAGATGGCTGTGAGCTACTATGTGGTTGCTGGGAATTGAACTCAGGACCTCTGGAAGAACTGTTTCTCCAGCCCCACACTTTTGTATTCTAATTTAAACCCTTCAGCAGCCATTTTGAGATCAAATCTCAGTGTAGCCCTAATTGGCCTAGAACTCCACTATGAACATTAACTTGGCCACAAACTCATAGAGATTCATTCACTGGCCTCTGCCCACTGAGTGCTGTGATTAAAGGCACCACCACCACCTAGCAAGAGGTAACAATTTTATTAACAGTGACTACAGCTCAGAGAGGTTAAGGTCCTTGTCAAGAGTTGTATAACACACTCGGTTAGTGCTAGATTTGACTTCAAACTCTTAACCACTACCCAGGACTTATTTCGAGGGTTTATCTGTATAGCCCTGGCAGTCCTGGAAGTTGCTTTATAGACCAGACTGGCCTCAAACTCATGGAGATCCTCCTGCCTCTGCCTTCCAAGTGCTGAGATTAAAGGTGCATGCCATCACCACCTGGTTTACCTAGGACTTCTTAAACACTTCCCACCATAACCTTTCACCCAAGAAATGTTTACTTGCTTCCAGGCATAAATATGTAAAATGGGTATATAAGTCAAACATTTGTTGATAATAAGCTATAAATCTATTTCAATATAATCCTTTGGCATACACATACCGCTTATTCTGGATGAAAGCAAACTTGCACACTAATGGAACAAATGTGCTTGAATTTACATAAAGAATTAAACCTTGGCTGTTTGATATTGTAAGACGAATATCACTTTTTTTTTAGATGATCAGTTTTGATTTTATAACCACCAATACTGAGAATGCTGTTCTGTACACACACACACACACACACACACACAGAGAGAGAGAGAGAGAGAGAGAGAGAGAGAGAGAGAGAGAGAGAGAGAGAGAGAGAGAGAGAGAGAAACAGAGAAACAAAATGGCAGAAGTTATGTTTAGAGACATTTCATAAATTGTTTGAAAGTGTATTCTGATCCCTGATCCAAATCAAAAATTCAGTAAACTATTTTTTATGAAACCACTGTCAGTAATTTTCTTTTCTTTTCATTGTTACTTGTGCTACAGTACAGGAGTGGAGGCCAGAAAATTGGTTCTCTCCAACCTTGTGAGGCAGGGTCTCTAGTTTATATCAGGCTGCTGCCTGCTCCAGAGCGATTCTCCTGTCTCCTTCTCCCTAACTGAGGTTACAAATGCACATCTGACTTCTTAACATTGGTTCCAGGGCTCAAATCCAGGAGTCCTGTTTAGGAGGCTAGGGCTTTTACCTAGTGAACCATCTCACCAGCCTACAAGTTAATTTTAAAAATCAAATATTCCAACCTAATGCAATCCAAAGACATACTAATTTGATATTTGCATGCTGGGAGATCAAGTAGTAAGTCCTTGTTTTCTGTAAACTACATGTTCCGGTAAGAGCAGGAATGAAAGTTGCCATTCACCACATGCAATGATCTCACATCTGAGCTCTCTGGCTGTGTGGCATGAGATGCACAGTGCACAGGACAGTGCCCCAGACACACCTCCCACCTCAGCTTGACCTACAAGTTTGATTTTGAGTTCATTCTTGTTCAGTGTTCAAAAACCTTTTACTGTCACCAAAATTCTCACAACCCCCACATCCAGTTACAGAGCACCACAGAGTCACAACCTACAGCTTAAAAGTCTGAAGACTAAGCCAGATGGTGGTGCACATGCCTTTAATCCCAGCACTCAGGAGACAAAGGCAGGTGGATCTCTGTAAATCCAAGGCCCCCTTGGTCTACAGAGCTAGTTGCAGGACAGCCAAGGCTACCCTGTCTCAAAACAAACAAACAAACAAAAAAGGGACTATTTAGTACCTTCTACAGAGGGGGATCTGTGATAGGTTAAGGGTGCAAACAATTGTGAAGGTTCCAGGAAGTTACTCTGATGACACTGACGACACTTAAGGGCCTGGACCAAGGCAAAGGGACCAGTGAGTCCTACCCACTCCTCTCTTCTCACCCCTACCAGACTCAGGGCTCCACAAAGCAAGCTCACATCCCACAACTGTACAGCCAGTTGTAATCCTAAAGTTCACTCCTTAAGAAATCTAATGTGTGTGTGGGGGGGGTTGTTGCTGGAATGTGTGTGGCTGGAGCCCAGTGTCTCAGCCCGGACAGCAGACTCCGCTGGAGCTCCAAGAAGGCTCCCAGCCACAAGTACCCGGAATCCCCAGCCACCAGCAGTGCCAGCGAATGGAATGTGCTGCTGGGGTGTTGCTGGCAGGAGGTGGGGTCACTGGGAGCTGGAGAAGATAGCAGCTCCCACCACAAGGCCACCTCTGTTCTGACTGAAGGGGGTGGTGCTTGGTGGGCAGACCCTTGTTAGCTCAGTGGCTAGCTCCTTAGAGAGTGGGGACCAGAATGTGAGGGAGCTGCCCAGAATGTGACCTTTACCCAAGGCTTCTTAGGCCACGGGTGCTATGAACACCTGCAGCATAATTTCCATTCCATTTTGGGTGGGTCACTTAACCTCCCATTTAAAATGCCCACCAATTAGATGAACCTGTAGCGCTGTGCTGTGGGACTTTAAAATGAACTACTGGCCAGACATGCTGCCTGGCAAAGTGGTGCATGAACAGGGCCAGCTGTGCAGACAGACACAGACCTCTGGTAAAGGAATAAAAATGAGGCATTTGGCTTCTGCCCCAAAGGCTACAGGAGACCCCCAAAGCCATTGCCTGTTCCCAGTCTGCCAAGACTTTGCAGCATCAACACAGGAGACCACAAAAGCCTCAACAGACCCAAGCTCAAGCCAGGCTGCAGCCAGGCCTCCCGACCGGCCCTGCAAGGTGCCAGACTATAACCTGGTTATCTACCAATCCAATGCCACAAAGCGCAAGCTGTGTTTTGTCCCACTCTGAAGTGTCTGAACCCCGGGCTCCGTGGGGCACTGCACCAGTCCTGCTGAACTCCCGTGGCTCTGCATTTAAAGACTTGCTCACCTATTCTCCCAGGTACCTCCAGGAAACAAAAAGGGCAAAACCCCTTTCTCACATCTGTGACTACACCTGATAGTCAGCCTTCCTGAGCAGTGACAGTCACCTTCCAACAAGATGGGCTCTCACTGACGCTCTCCTGTAAAAGGTGATTTAAAATTGTTCTCTGGCTTAAAAGAAGGAAAACGGTGACTGCTGTAAGGACACAGGACAGAGGCGCATCATCTGTCTGAAGGCTGTAGGATGATGAGGGTCATACATTAGGCCACACACACAGGAGGTCACGGCAGGTGGGACTGAGCTTGGAGAGGGCTTACACCACTGCTGCTGGGCATTACCATGTTACTGCGAGGAAAACAGTGCCTACCTCTTGGACTTGTCACTGGCACTAACACGTGTGCAGTATTCAGCACCAGCAACCACCCAGCCTGGTGACGTGTACCTCAAGCCTCCAAGCACCTCACACCTACCAGCTCTCAGCTCCTGCGGTGCTGGCCCTTTCTGCCTTTCTCAGGAGGGATTAGCTAAAACCTTTCTACTGTAAAGCCTGCCTTGTCTAATACTTAAATTCTGATCCCAACCTCAACCCAAGGCCCTCAGTCCGGTCACAAGACAAAGCCTGCCCCCTCCTGTTTACAAGGCACAGCCTTCCCCTGAGCCTAGCTCCTCACAGACTGGGCAGCAGCACACGCACTTCCACAGACCGTGTGCAAAGACCCACTCCACGGCCTGCCCTTGGCCAAGTGAAAAACTTGGACAGCACTAAGAAACCTGGGTCTCCCCCCTGGTGGCGAGTGCGGACACAAGGACAGGACGAAAGCTTAAGCTTGGGGCCTTTATTGGCAATTCTCCATACAGAGCTCCTTTCTGCTCTCCAGTGTAAGTAAATAAGCATGGAGGTAGCGTCCTCGCACCAGGACTAAGGGTACACCTCGGCTGCTTGGTCCCCACTGCCAAACCCTCACCGCTCTGTGTATGCCTGATTAGCAGAGAGCTTCGGACCAGAGTCATGCACCCCACACCCAGCTTCCAGCAAGCTCATGCTCAGGCAACAGAACAGCTCCCCTGCGGCAGCCGCGAGGCCCCGCAGTGCAGCCCCAAGGGAAGATTCTCACAAGGGTTTCAGGCAGAAGCCGGCATCGTCTTCACCTCACCCCTGCACTGCATGCTCCCAGGAACCACGAAATAAATAAATAAATACTTTGAAAAGACCGGCAGCTCCAGGGAGGGGGGCCTGAGCCAGCTCACGGCTTAGGAGGCACAGGGCCCCCTTGGTAGATCAGAGGGGACATAAAACTGACCATGTGACCTTATCCCACAATGGACACTGTTCTCCAGGAACAGTCCTGGACTCTGAGAGCCAGCCCATCCAGGTCCTATACTTTCCTGGACCTCAGAGGCCACGGCTTTCAGAATCTCTGCTCCACTCCCCTGGCCTCATGTTCTACGGGAGAAGGGCTAGGGAGAGGTGGGGTGCACTAGACCCAGGGCAGGAGTAGGAGGATGTGAGGGTCCCACAGTCATCCCAGCAGAGCTGAGGACACAGAGAATCGTGGGAGATAAGAGTCTGTAGGCGGGGCTTCCCATGCTGCCATCCACTGGACTGAAGGACATGACCAGCGCCCTCATATGCACTCTCCTCTGGGTACCTGGGAGCTATCTAAAGGGCAAAGTCCATGGTGTTCCAAGTCCTCCTGCAGGTTCTCTGGGGCTTAGATGCCCGGTACTCAACAGGGAAGAACCTCTTTTCCCACTTCAGGTTCTTGGATCCTAAGGCCTAGTCAATTCGGCCTTGACCATCAGAGCCCAGATGGGAGCAGGCTAAGCTCAATTCTGCTCCTGGTAGACATTTCCCTGGCTAGCCCTGAGTCAACGAGGGGCGGGGGGGGGCACAAGGCAGGGCAAACAGCTCCAAGGGTTCCTCTCCCCTGGAGCCTTAAAGCATCACCAGCCCAGCTGGAGGCAGCAGGGGAAGGGCAAGAAGGATCTAGCTATCAGGCTACATTTGCCCAGCACACGCCTCAGAGGAGCAGGGTGGGAGAGTAGGGTCTACTGCTAGCCCCAGGACAGGGGAAGCCTGGCTTCTCTTCTCTTCTCTTCTCTTCTCTTCTCTCCTCTCCTCTCCTCTCCTCTCCTCTCCTCTCCTCTCCTCTCCTCTCCTCTCCTCTTCTCACTTGCTCAAGGTCTGATTACAGGAGGCACACACAAACACAGTCTCTCTCTGGGCTTCAGGAGCTGGAAAGGAAAAACACGGTGAGACGGTTCTTTGTACCCTTTAGGCTCAAGGCGCCAAGTACTGAATTAGCCTCCCCAGTCCTTAGACAGACCACCCACGGCCCAGCCCACACCCTCCCTGACCCAGCTCACTCCCTGCCCTGACACACTGCAGCACTGGGGCTCTAATGCCAAGAGCAGGCCTCTCCAGGTGTTCTATGCACTGAAAATTCTTCTGGCATCAACAAAACACTTTTTTAAAGCTTTTTTTTTTTAAATAAAATACCAAAGGAAAATTTCCCTAAACGTTTTAACAGTGGTTAAAAATCTCTGGGTGGTAAGATTACAGGATCACATTTCTCTTCCTTTCTTCTTTATAATAATTTCCAAATTTTATAGTTAACAAGCATGTGATACTTGTAAGATCGGAAGGAAAAAAGCCTGCCCAACATCACAACACATTACAGGGCAGGAAGTGAAATATGATTCCAGCTTTCAAGAACATGAATGCTACCTACATTTCAGTGATACACAGTGACCCAACCATCCTGTCTGGAACACAAGGGAGTATTTTCTTCTTTTTGCTCATCCACAGGTTTTATTTACAACAAACATGTACAGCTTTTAGAAAGGAAGAGAAATCCTTTTGATTGTGTTAAATGTGTTACCAAGGTAATGAAAATAAGATTCAACCAGACGATCTCCTGGGAAGGAAGAGAGTGCCTCGGACAGTCGCCACCCTCCTTTCCCAGGGCAGCCTCCTAACCCACGCCTGCACCCCTCACCTGTGGCCCCCATGGAGGACTTGGGCACCTTGAAGGAGCAGCACCGAGAGCAGAAGCTGTTCCCACAGTTGCTGCAGCTCCGCTGTAGACAAGGAAACCACATCAATGCCAGACGGAGCTCACCTTAGGCACCGACACCGAGTACCTCCTCCCCTCTGCCATCTAACCCTGGGTGGGAATGAGGCAGGACAAAGCAGCCAACAGAAGGCTGATAAGGCTGTAGGCCTGAAGCAGGGAAGATGCAGTGGCCTGAGCAAACCCGGGTACTGGCCTCTGTGACCTGCGACTTAGACGTCATTGACGGCTGTCCTGAGTCCAGCACACAGCAGACTTACCCTCTTCTTCAGCACCGAGAAGGTGGCAGCGCAGCCTGCACAGTTCCCTGAGAAACAAAGGCAGCAGCTCAGCTAGGTCCCAGGCCAGGCCACTCAACCCAAACTGATCCCGACTCTCTAACTGGGACACTTAGGATCCCAGCCTGGCAGCCCAGACTCTCATCTGGGTGCAAAGAGCAAGATCTGGATTCAGAGTAAGAAAAAGGTGCCCACCCCTAGGAGCAGCTGCCACCAGGCTACCCACAGCTCTGACCCTTGCACCCTCACAGCACTGAGTGCCCCCACCCCCAATGACAGGCTTGGCAGACTATCAAGGAGCACCCCGAGACTCTCCTCCCTGGAATCTAGCCAAGCCAGCAGGGACATGACTCAGTGAAGCCCACCAGATGTGACCCTTTCATAATGTTTCCTTACAAACACCTGCCCACAGATGAGGCACAGATCAGCCTCCAAGAAATGCACACGCCTGCTTTCTGTCATCAGAAAATTCCAAGAGAGGAGCTTGAAATCAGGAAAGATGGAAAAAGGGCTCCGGGGCCTGTGACAACCTGGCAGGGCAGCAATCAGTAGAGGCCACGGCTGTGACGTATGGGTAACACGTGACAGTCCCAAAGCTCCTTCCTAGTCCAGCAGGATTACTCACAGCTCTCGCTAAAAGAAACTCCCTGGGATCAGGGAAGACAGACTATGGAGCCAGGGGACCACGGCAGAGAGAGACAAACATCCCTTGGCTGCTTCTGGGCCCAGAGGATCTTCCTGCCCCATCCCATCCACCTGGGAAATGGCATGTTTACGAAAGGGCCTGAGCCTGGAGTGGCTCCCAGGCCAGGCATCAGCAGATGTACTCACACCCAGAAGGAAACAGCAGGTCCAGGACACCTGATCCTGAAAAGTAGTCACCACCAGTCAGGGGCAGGAAGGCAGGCCCCAGAGGTCCCTCATATTCTCGAAGATAAGCTCAAGGATCTTGTCTCCCTCAAACTCACTAACACTGGAACCCACAATTCAAAGGCCAGAGTGGCTCTCAGTCACCAGCTATTCTAGGCTCTCCCCAGGCCGTTAGCCGGCTCCACTCTCAGGGTTCCAAACCAGAGCCCGGTCCCCTGCAAGCTCTGTCCTTAACCCACCCACAACCCCAAGAAAATACAAACTAACCAAACTACAACTTTGACTACAGTGACCTCAAAAACCAGCATGCCCAGAAGAAGGTACCTTTTACTGCAGATAGTCAGGTCACAAGGACCAAGACAGGCTCTCACGGACAAACAGGCTCAGCCAGCGCCTCCCACACAAACAGCACACAGTTACTAAGAGGCAGCCTGGCCCCGTGCTAACTCTTGTCATGTATCCACAACAACCCAACAAAACTATCTCTTTAGAAGGGGAAGCTGAGGCAGGATTTGCCCAAGGACACTGACTGAGCTGGTATTTTCTGTCAAGTTCTGCCAGCTCAGGATCACAACTCTTTGCAGTCTGGGTCAAAGAACACCTTGTCTTCCTGTGAGCTAATATTCAATAATGAGAGGTGGACATGAAGAGACCCACATTCACTCCACACTCACACTTCCTCAGACATTTGCCAGGTTCCCGAGGTTCCGTGGACATCTTCACAAGTATCCATTATTCTTGACCCAGGTGTCTTCCAACTCCTTAAGTTCCACCAGCCCTAGCCATATACCCGACCTCCAATCCACTTCTTTGGCCATACCAAAGTTGTTGGTGGGATAACGCTTGCGGAGCCGTTCTGTGAGCCGTGACACCTTGCTGCGCAGCACCTCATTCTTGCTGAGGAACCCATTGTCCTGTAGGGCCAGCTCATCCTCTGCTGGGCACGGGGTGCCCTCATCATCCTCCTGTGGGAACAGCTTATTTCAGTTCTGCTCATCACTTAGAACAGCCCAGGTCCTGCGTGCAGAGGCACCTGGGCATGGTGGCCCACAAAGTGTGGCACAGCTAACTCAGCAACCTTGCCCAGCCCAGCCCTGCCCCTGTCACCCTGCCCCTACTTACCAGCACCACCAGGTGGGTCTCCTGCCTCCCAGAGTGCGGGGAAGAAGAGGAGAAAACAGAGAGAGATAGCAGGAAGGGAGGAGCACAGGAGGGCACGGGAAACTGCTGTGCCACCCCGAGCTCTGAGCACTTCCCGCAGGGTGAAGTTACCAAGTGGGCTCTCTGGAAGCAGCCCAGACTCAAGGAAGCTTACAGAAAGCTTGGAATGACTCTTCTCTAACTGGTCATATACAGTTCAACAGAACAGAGGAGGAAAGGAAACATCCAATACAACAGTCTTTGGCTAAGGGTTTCACTTAAGTTCCACACATTTTACAGAACTAAGGATGAGCTGTCTGGATCTAAAAATGTGTTCCTTACTTGGGTCATGAACAAAAATGCTTGGAAGCCAACGCCATAGCTATCTCCACCCTCCCCAGACTCAAGCCTACATCCTTTACCAACTTGAGGAAGTCTACAGCAGTCACAACTGAAATGGATGCTCAGGTCTGAGGGAAAGTCAGCAGTGTAGCCAGGGCCCAGTTAAAGTTCACAAGACTCTCGCTCTCCCAACAGCCTCCCTCTTTACAGAGACAGAAAGATGTGAGTTTCTACTCTGAGACAAACAGCAATGTGGCAGGGACAACAAATAACAAGTCAGAAGGCCCCAGTCACCAGAGGGTGGGAATGTAGGGCAACACAGACTGCAGCCCGTGACGTGCTTATTTCACTTAGTGTGTGCGTGGAGGGGTGTGCCTCGGCACACATAAGAGTCAGAGGACAACTTCCAGTTCTCTCCCTCTACCATGTAGGTTCTGGGGACCAAACACAGGCCATCAGGCTTGACAGCCAGCACCTCTACCAGCTGAGTGATCATGTGACTCATCCAACAGGAGACAGTGGCCCCTCAGCTACACTGACTGCTGCAGTCCCTGAGATACTAAGAAAGTTGCAAGTCTACAGTTCTAACTGGAATCTGCCCTGTTTTAAACACTGGCTTGAAGAATTATTTTAAACGTTTACAAGCCAAATAAAACACGTTTTCAAACTACCAATCTAAATCACTGTCTAGTCAAGGTTGCTGAACTTCCCCTGAACTAGCACTTGGCTATGCAACCACTTTCTGCACCCTCCCAAAGGGACATCTAAGGAACTTAGTCTACAGAAGAGAGAGGCACAAGGTAGGCACCTCCTCAAAACATGCCCCCGACATCATAACCTCAACCCCATCTCCGCCCAGGTGACAAACCTCCAACCCCCCTGCCCCGGGCTCTCAAGACATGATAGAAGAAGGAAGAGGCTGTGGCACTCTTTCAACCAGTGGATTTCTAGCTCAGAGCAAACTCTGGCTTCCCATGCGGATGTTAGGGTAAAACAAAAAACAAAAACCACAGCTCTCAGCCCACCCAACATCTGGCCTGGTCACTGGGGACTGGGAAAAGGCCACCCACCTCAATTGCATCTTTGAACTCTTCATCTGGCTCAGCCTCCTCAGCTTCTTCCACACTGCCTGGCGTGAGGTCCTAGGAAGAAAGACTCTATGGCAGAAGAGAAGGCTGGCAACCCCGGTTCCTACAGTGGAGAGCCACCTGCTGAGAACCAGTGGCTAGGCTCCAAAACCCCAGGCCCCAGCCCAGGGAAACTGCACAGCTGCAGGAAGGGAACAACCACAGGAAAGGCTCCCTCTAACCCCACAGGGCAGGGCCCTAGAGCAAGACTCCAATGGACCCACAGCAGCCAACAGTCACAGAGCCTGTCTGAGACCCAGCTCTGTTTACTAGCTAAGCGTCTTTGGCAGCCACTCTGTGCCTCAGCCTTCTCTTGGGCCACTGGAAATGATCTCATCCTCATCTTCAAGACACACCCCACAGGGTACTTAGTGTAGCACCAGACACAGAGTGGGAGTTCACACCCCACAGGGCACTTAGCACAGCACCAGACACAGAGCAGGAGTTCACACCCCACAGGGTACTTAGTGTAGCACCAGACACAGAGCAGGAGTTCACACCCCACGGGGTACTTAGTGTAGCACCGGACACAGAGCAGGAGTTCACACCCCACAGGGCACTTAGCACAGCACCAGACACAGAGCAGGAGTTCACACCCCACGGGGTACTTAGTGTAGCACCAGACACAGAGCAGGAGTTCACACCCCACGGGGTACTTAGCACAGCACCAGACACAGAGAAGGAGTTCACATCTCACAGGGTACTTAGCACAGCACCAGACACAGAGCAGGAGTTCACACCCCACAGGGCACTTAGTGTAGCACCAGACACAGAGCAGGAGTTCACACCCCACGGGGTACTTAGCACAGCACCAGACACAGAGAAGGAGTTCACACCCCACAGGGCACTTAGTGTAGCACCAGACACAGAGCAGGAGTTCAGAAAAGCCCAGGCAGCTATCTTCATTGCACTTCTTACTACTAAGCATCCCAGAGGCAGGAAGAACCTCGACAGCTTCAGCCCAGAAGCCATACTTATAAACAAGAGGGAGGCAAAAAAGACACAAGGGGAGGAGCCTCTTGCCAATGGCAGAGCACTCACCTCTGTGGGTGTGGGGGCCGGTGTGCTGTCCAGCAGCGTACTCCTTCCCCCAGCGTCCTGCAGTGACGAGCTCCCACAGGCACACTCTTCCTGCTTGGGGTTCATCCGCCGCTGCAGACAAGCCCTATACTCAGACACCACTGCAGACAGAATGGTGAACAGGGTCAGAGGTGACATAAGACACAGTAAGTGGGCTGTGATGGTGCATATCACACCTTTAATCTCAGCACTCGGGAGGCAGAGGCAGGCAGATCTCTGTGTTCAAGGCCAGTCCCTCTGCTACAGAGAGAGTCAGCCAGAGAGTCAAATAGTGAGTGATCACACACTAAGGACAGAGGGGGATAAACACAGAAAGCCCCAAGCACAGAGCCTCTCTAAACTGCCCAGTATCCAGAAGCCAGACAGCAGACTCAGGGCTCACACAGACATGTGGCAGCTACTCCAGGTGGCCACAGTGCAGAAGTAGGGGCAATTTAGAGAAAAGACCCCTCCCTTACCTTCTAGAAACCACCATGTGAGTAGGCAGTGATACATCTGCTTTAAAAAGGAGAGGGAACCCTCTGAAGGCAGCCACACAACCCCAACACACTCCCAGAGCTAACCAGTGGAAAGATACCCCCTTGTGGCAAGCACAGCAATAACACAGAGGCAGGAAGCCTAAACGGAGTGGGCGGAGTGGGCTCAGCCCAGCTATGGGGCTCTCTGGGGCTTACCTCGGAAGAACTCCACGTTTCCCAGAAAGAGCGTGCTGTTTAAAAGGGCAAGGACCCAGCAGAGAGGCAGCAGGTAGAGCATGCAAACCATGCCCAGAAGTGCGCCATAGAACCTGGATGAACAGAAAGTCCAAGATCAGAAGGAAATGGAGGGGACCACCTAGGTGAGAAATTGCTCTGGGCACAAACTGACAAGACCTGCCAATCAAACCAGTGTAGACTTGCTGAGGAAGCACCAAGCTTCTGGTCTGTACCAAGTGACACCAGTGAAGCCACACTGTGTCTCAAGTGGGGAGTTCACACACTGGCTCAGCTGCCATCGATCGCTGGGTCTGAGCTCTGAAGTCTAGACACAGACTTGGGCCTGAAACAAACTCTCTCACTTGCCTCTGTGACAAGTCCCTTGGCTCTCAAGCATTACCTCACCTAGAAAGTTCAGTCTAAACAGCCAGCATCTACTTCATGGTCACTAGAAAGAGTAAGACAATCAACAGGAACCTCTCACACAGGCCCGGCACAAGTGAAGCCTGGACAGACACCAGTTATAATTCCTGATATGGGAAAGCCTCAAAAACATGCATTCCTGCAGTGATTTCATCTTTTAACTTCATCTTTAAACTTTTTTTTCAAAAAATTAAAACTAAATTCATAAAAATGCTCACTGTAGGCAGGTGGTGGTGCACGCCTTTAACCCCAGCACTCGGGAGGCAGAGGCAGGCAGATCTCTGAGTTCAAGGACAGCCTGATGTACAGAGTGAGTTCCAGGAAAGGCTCCAAAGCTACAGAGAAACCCTGTCTTGAAAAACAAAACAAAACAACAACAACAACAAATGCTTACGTAGGGCTAGTAATGAAAAATAGAACTTATCTAAATATATAACAGAACACCTCCAGTCTACATTACAAAATAATCCCAAAGACTTTGTTGCAACCACTTATGATGTAATTAATGAAGAGAAAGAAACTCACATATAAGCTAAAGAGGTAGTTCTCTGGCCTAAGGAACTTTGGGCTCTTGCAGAGAATCGTGGTTTGATTGCCAGCACCATCAGGGTATACATACACACATACATGCAGGCAAAACATTCATATATAATGCATATATATATATACACACATACATACAGATGTATGTGTATATATATGTAACTAAATAAATAAAGCTAAACAGAGAAAAGCAATCTCACAGTCAATGTGAAGCTAACAGGCCCGGGAGCAGCTCCAAAAGGCAGCTGACCATGAGCTCTGTAGAACACAGTGAGGCACTCGATTAGTCAAGTACTAGTACTGTGTACCTTTTAAAATGGCACCTAAACAAGAGCAAGCATTTAGGCCCAAAAGTCTATGTGTGGACTTCTCCTGAGGTGGGTGGTGCAGAAGCCTTTTCAGGGAGCTGGCTTCACCTGGAGGAGGAGGGACTTCAATCCACAGAGACCTACAGGGTGGTGGATGAAAAGGGGCCCACTCACTGTGAGGACACCATGGGGTTCTCCCAGTGCAGTACACGGTAGGCTGACTCACAGGTACCACACAGGCGGGTCAGGAAGGCTTCCAGTTGGATCAAGCTGCAGACATAGGAGCTTCTGTGAGTGACAGGTCCTGCCCCTTCCCATACCAACCCACCCAGCCATCCAGGAGTGCAGAGCTATGAGGGTGCAGAGGCTGGGTTCACACAGCTGGCACAACTGGCCCACAGTGGGCAGTCTGAAAACACTCCTGTTGGGAGAAGAGGGCCTGGCAGGGTTCCAGCCTATTCCAACCCCCTTTGGGAGCTCCTCCTTGCTATTTTTTTTTTATTTTACTTATTACAATTGGGAGGAACTATTTTGAAAAGTCTATGTTCTCCTTCCACACAAAGGGCTCATTAGAGACATGGCTGCTTCTAGAGCTGGAGCAGGGCAAGCCTAAGACAAATGTGAACATTCTGTTATGCCATACCATAAGGCAGCACTGAAAAATGATGGGATATAATGAAAGAACACAAAAACCAGCTCAAAGTGGTCCCACTGGCCAAACCTAGGACACTCAGATGGAAGGAAGATAGGAAGGACTGTAACAGATCAGATCGCATGGAATGAAATAAGATCCCTTGCGTTCATACTGACAATCAGTGAGAAGCACACCTGCCACTGCAGAATGCCAAAAAATAAATGCAAGTGGAAGGGTAAGCAGAGAGCCAGTTCTCAACCACCAGGAAAGAAACTAATGAGGTCAGGACCCACCAGTGGCTGTTACAGCAGCTGAGTGAAAGCTGAGGAGGAAGAAGGTATTTCAGTCTCAGTGTATCTCTCTACAGGTTCCTAACCAACGGGAAACAATAACTTACAGTGGAGAAGGTGACCAAAGACAGTATTTCCTGACATTGTGTGGCTCTCATGTGAACTAAGACACGCCACTTGTCAGTCCTGCTCAAAATGCAAACCGAGTCTAACAAGGAGCTGAACAACACAAACTGGGAAATAACAACACAGTAAGCTCGTATTGTATCAGGGATGTCAAGGTCACATGGAACTGCTCACCCCACGTTAACAGAACACAGAAACTAAGTGTGAGTGAGGGCTGAGATGCTTGGTGGACAAAGTCTTGGATCCAGTCTTAGCACTACATGAAAGAAAAAGCCTTCAATGTAATGTATGAGTCTAAATTGGACCCTGGACCAGGGGAAACTTCAATAATACAACTGGCAAAATGTGATTATGAACTATGCAGCAAAGAAAAGCACTAATATATCGATATAAATATCCTAATTCTGACTATTACTTGGAATACATAAGACAATGTCCTTGATCTCAGGAAATAAATGCTGAAGTATTTGAAGTAAACAGAAGGGATGTTTGTAATTTTCAAGTGGTTCAAGGAAAAAAAAGAGAGAGCTAAAGCCAGTGTGGCCAAATGTTAGTAATTGTTCTTTTTGAATGGTCTATGGAACTGTTTTCATTCTTCCTGCACCGCCTGTCAAACAGTAAAATATTATTTCAGTGTCAGGCATGCCAGTGCACACCTTTAATCCCAGCACTTGGGAGCAGAGGCATGTAGATCTCTGTGAATTTGAAATCAGCCTAGTCTACATTGTGAGTCCCAGACTAGCCAAGGCTACACCATGAGATCATCTCAGAAAAAAAAGAAATGCATGAAAATAAATTACTTTACATTAAAAAGTTTTGTTTTCCCATACACCTGGACCTCACTCCTGATGACTTATAACCCCTGTTGTGTGTCCAAAGCCTATGTGAAGCCTGATCCAAGAAAAGGCTCAGGAAAAGCCAGCTGCTGCTCAAGTACATGCAGTAAGCATTCATCAGCAGTCTTAAAGCTGCTTCCTCAAGGCACCAGCCTCGCCATGCTCAGGATGGTAATGATGACTAACACTGAATACTTCCTGGGTACCCAACACTCAAGCAATCTTCACAGCCATCCTCTGCGTAAGCCCAACACCACATCCGATGAATGAGGGCTCACAGGAGCAGAGAAGCAAGCGAGCTGTTGAGAAGTGAAAAGACAGGATCCAAGCCCAGCTGCTGTGTGATACTGTGGTTGCATTCTGACGCTCCCAAGACTGCCAATAAAATGTGCTTTGAATCAGAGGGTGGAGCTAGCTACCAGCTACCAAAATTAACCAGAGGTTTTGGAGGACTGAGGACAGATAGACACAGGAAGTAGTAGGGTAGGACTTAGAGAGGGTTTCAGCCCTTTTGGATTGAGGAAGGAGATAGGAAGGGGGTTTCACTGCTTGCTTATTGGCTATTTCTCAGATCATTCAAGTTCTTATCCCAATATCTGACTCATGAGTTTTAACTGATAAAGAATAATCAGATTAACACTTCACCCAGCAATGGTTTGCGCAGGCAGCACCTAAGCAAAACCCTTAGTGGTCCGTCCGGGGGAAGAACACAGCTATAAAGGCAGCTGGATCTGGAGTCCAAGTCACTGCTAGTTAAGCCTTTGCCTTCCTCTGTAAGTGGAGGATAATAACAGTGTCTCCGCTCAGAACCGGTAAAGAGATTAAGTAGAATGAAGTCGGTGGCTCACGGGCAGCATGCATGTGACAGCTGGCTCACCCGCCCACACTCCTGGCCTCCTTTCAATACTTACAAGCTCTTCACCTCAGCCACAGCCTCAGGGCGGGAAAGGCGAACTCTCTGTAGGTCTTCCTGCCTTATGCTGTGGTACTTCCTCCGCAACAGCTCAGACTCTGGCAGCTGTGCCCGGCAAACCTCCTGAAGGTAGCCCAGCAGAGCGGGCACCGAAATCATCAAGGCACCCATGGAGTACCAGGCACCTAAGAGATCAAGAACACTGCAGGTGACACGGTAGACAGGCCCTGGAGACTGACCGCTGATGTCCACATGCTTGCTTTCTCACCTCCTTGAGGCTCCTGCCTGAGAGGCCTGGCCAGATCACACTGCGGCTAGACCTCCAGATCTCCCTACTCTATGGCCTGCTCAACCCTCATAGATGTCATCACCACTAGGTACTATGGATATTCTGTCTCTTCAGCAAAAATAAGTTCAAAACTGTGAGCATCAGGTGTGTGGTCATGGATGAGCTCTAACCTTGTTTAAATTTTAAAAATGCCCCATGGGTTGGAGAGATAGTTTAGTGGTTAAAAATGTGGGCTGCTCTGCCAGAAGACCTGTGTTTGATTTCCAGCACCCACACTGTGGCTCACAACCATCTGTTACCAGTTCCAGGGGAATCCAACACCACAGACACTATACATACATAGGACACATGCAGGTAAAACACCCATTCACTAAAATAAAAAAACACACACAATAGATGGTTCACATCTATGGTCTGGATGCTGCTAGCAGTTTTCCAAGAATGGAAATTTAGCCCTCTCTACCACTAAGGCAGACTGGAAAACTTTTCTTTGGCTTTGGGATAATGTAGGGGTCCTGAGGACTGAGGGGTGAGGCAGAGACAAAATTCAAAGCAGGAATTTCTCCCTTGTAACACAATATCACAATAGCAAACAAAGTCAGCAGTGAGCCATAGTAAATGCCAGTAAAACAAACTGTCATTTAAACCGACTGAATTTAGAACTATGTTTAGACACACACATACTAACATCCTAGGGCATTTAAAGAAAAATCCAACTAAGAAAAAGAAAGCTGAGTATGATGGTGGTTACATTTGTAACCCAGAATCTGAGAGGCTGAAGCAGGAAAATGGGTAGCTCCAGGGAAACCTGGGCTACGTGGTGAGTTTAAGGCAAGCCTGAGCTATAGAGAGGCCCTGCCTCAAAAAAGAGGGGAAAAAAAAGCTGTCCAAAAACAGATGACCCCGTGTGAAGTGGGGTAATTTTCAACCCACTGACTCCATATGTCCACAGGAAACAGGAAATACAGAGAATCATGCCTGTGGTGTAATAACACATACATAAAGGACCAGCTCCTCTAAACATTCTGCCCTGAACCTTTCACTCACTTCCTGACAACTACCCGACAGTTCCAACCCTGAGAGGCCTGGGTCGCAGCAGACATAACAGAGTCCTCAGGAGACACTGCCACCCAGGAACTCTGTAGTCACCACCTAGCCACGCCTTTCTCATGGTTTTGTGTGTGCGCCTCTCCCCACTGCTTGGTGGCCATCTAACACATCAAAACCCATTTGCTGGAGCAGAGAAAATGACAGATACGGGGAAAAGCCTCTCCTCAGATCCTCCTCCTGATAACTTTACCGGTATCATGTTGACAAATGGGAAAAGGCGGATGCCTACTTCAGCAGTCAATTAGAAAGTCACACAGAAGTAGCAGCAGCCACAGTCTGCCAGCTGCTGACCTGTGTGAGGCACTGGGCTGAGCGGCACACACAGGTTCTCATTCCTCACAGTGCTCATGAGCAAAGACCGCTGCCGCCCTCCCTTCAGAGATGAGGGAAATGGAGCCTCAATCGGTAGGCTACATCATGTGTCCACAGTCACACAGAGGCCCAGAGCTTGGGTTCCAATACAAGCAGACCTAGGAGGAATCGAACTGGCAAAGAGGTGGTCCCTCCCACATTGCTCCAACTCAGGGCTCTACCCCCACATTGATTCAGAAAAACCCACTGGCCTCTAGAAGAAGTTCTTACCCTCGTTCAAAGTGAGGAACAAGATGTTGAGGCCCAGGCATGTCATCAAGGAACACAAAGGCATTTGCCACCTACAACATAGAGAGTTCTGATCACAAGGCAGCCACTCCTCCAGCCTGAAAGAGGCTTGACAGCACAGACAGACAGACAGACAGACAGACAGACAGATCCGGACATGAGGAGAGAGGGGCACAGAGGACCAAGGAGAGATACACATAGGCCTATCTGTAGGAAGGGGGCTAGCAGAAGAACAAAGAGGTCACACATTAACCCTGGAGTGACAAACTAGAAGACCTGCAGAACCTTCTTGGGGGGGGGGGGGGAGAGCTTTCCTACGACCTGTTGAGAAACCTGGTTACTGCTGTTTCACCATGTTTTGTTTTGTTTTGTTTTGACATAGGGTTTCTCTGGGGCTTTGGAGCCTGTCCTGGAACTCACTCTGTAGACTAGGCTGGCCTCGAACTCACAGAGATCTGCCTGCCTCTGCCACCCAAGTGCTGGGATTAAAGGTCTGCGCCACCGCCCAAGCATCTCACCATGTTTTGTAGGGCTCTGTCCTTGACAAGGGTCACTGACAAGGTTCGTCTTTTAGTGTGTTCCCTTATCCTATTTCACAATTTCCTAAGACCATTATTAGCACACTCTGCACGCCACGGGCTAGACCACAGAAATGGGAAAAAACAAAAAACCTCAGCTTACCAGTCTACATCTGCACAGGAATTCATCAGCATGGGCAAGGAGGGAGTGGTGGCACTTGGGAGGCAGAGGCAAGCAAATCCCTGCGAGCTCGAGGCCAGCTGGTCTACAGAGTGAGTTCCAGGCCAGCCAGAGCTACATGGTGAGCCTGTGCCTTTAAAAAAAGGTACTCATTGGCACAGAAATCGAGAAAAAAACAATATGGATGCCTTTGCCCACATGTTACTTTATGTCTTTACTTCTACAATTTTGACTTTGTTTCATATATATGTTAATTCTAAAGGAGACAAAGACGACCTACTTTACTATACTAAAACTGAGGGTTGGGAATGTAGCTCAGTATTAGAGCATCTGCATAGCAAGCATAGGGCCCCGAGCTCAGACCTTGGGGGTGGGGGGAAGGAGTATGCAATGCAGTTGTCACCCAGTAAACACAACCTGTGTGACATGAAAAGAGAAATGACAATACAGACAGAAGTCCTCAAAGAGAGGAGAGAAAAATGACTCAGATCTCCTAGGACAAGACAGTGCTGCTGGCCTAGCTACAGAAAAGGACATTTAGAGCCCACAGTGGGGGAGCACCACTATAATTCCAGAACTGGAGAGGTGGAGGCAGGAGGACCAGGAGTTCAAGGTCAGCCTCAGCCACAGTTAGCTGGAGGTCAGTATGGGCTACCTAAGACCCTATTTCAAAAACAATTAAGATACAAAGGAGCAAACTAATAAAAAAGAGTGTAGATAATAATGAAGCCACTGACACCCATATCCTAAGGTCAGTATCTACACAGTAAACCATCAGAGAGAAACAAGTATCGGAGAAATAATGAAGCCACTGACACCCATATCCTAAGGGCAGTATCTACATAGCAAACCATCAGAGAGAAACAAGTATCGGAGAAATAATGCATCTGCTGCTGGCAAACAATGCATCCTCATCCTGTCGTCTGTGCCCGCTCTGCCCATATCAGGCAAAGCCTAAGTTACATATACCCTGTCCTCCTTTCTTCTGCCAGTGGCCTTGTGCCTCTTAGCACACTAAGTTGTTAGGTTTGGAGGTCTGAGGCTATGGGCAGTCAGTCTGGAGCTGGATGGAGGGGCACCTCCCCCAGCTGTAGTCTCTACATGCAGCAGAGGGATCACTGGGCTGTGAAAGTGGTTGTCAGATTCGTTTAAGCTTTTGATTGTTCTTTTTTTAGTTACGAGGGTTTGACTGATTAGGAACCCAATCTTGGGGTTTGGCTATTGGGTCCAAGGCTACAGTAAAATTTTTAGGATCAGCTGCTCTGCTTAGCGGGTCTCCTGGGATCACACTGTCAACAGAGACATTAGATCAAGGAGAGGGGTCTGGAAGGAAAGTGACATCACTGGCAGTGTGCTGTTCGGACTTTTTGGATAGGGTTGAGTTTCCTATTTTTCTATTTAGGCTTATTTTTTATTTGACTTTTACCATGATGGCAGCCACCAGTAGTTCTGAGACATGTTTGGGGTTGTATGTGTTTGACTTTATGAGAAAAGCAAAAAATGGTATTCCTTTCCCATAATCTTTATTAGTAACCAAGAACCCCAGGCTGCGAAGTTATTTTTAATTATGTAAGGTATGAAATTATTTTGATAATGGAATCAAATGATTTTAGTAAAAGACATAAACTGGCCGGGTGGTGGTAGCTCACACCTTTAATCCCAGCAGAGGCAGAAGCAGGCGAATCTCTGTGAGTTCAAGGCAGACTGGTCTACAAAGCTAGTTTCAGGACAGTCAAGGCTACACAGAGAAACTCTGTCTCAAAAACAAAACAAACAAACAAACAGAAAAACCTGACAAACTGAAACATTCAGAAATGCAATGCAAAGCCATTTATTTACAATTTAGGATTTTTGTTTGCTTTTTTTTTTAAAGTATGGTTTTTTGAGACAAGGTGTCCTATAGCCCCGGCTGGCCCCAAACTTGCTATGGAGCTAAGGATGATTATTGTGGAATATTCCTTTACACTGTGTGAAGATGTGTCACTGCGATTGGTTTAATAAAAACCTGAACGACCAATAGCTAGACAGGAGTACAGGCGGGACTTCCAAGCAGAGAGATAAAAGGAGATGAATGTAGGCACCAGAGAGACACCAGACTTCGTGGAGAGGGAACAGGAGGTGCAGCTGCTGCCTGGCTGACCAGAGAGGCAAGAGAGAGCACCTCCTCAAGTCTGTACCTTAGCAAGTATCGAACACCATCACCTGCGTCCTTCAGGGGTTCCAGGTAGACCTCCAGCCTCTTGTAGGACAGAACCAGGTTGAAAAGGTCAAACGCTGTTGACTTGGTGGGGGCAGGTGGGCAGTCGGCAAGAACCTCCGGCATCACGCTGGGGCTCACCTCTGGCCCACTCAGGTCCCGATCTGATGTCTGCATCCTGTAATTAGAATTCCCCACACTTACAATGCACTTCAGTCTTCGACACATGTCCCTTGCATTAGTTCAGAATCAAACCTGTGACGTACGAGGGACTACATGTTTCACACATGAGGAAACTTTGTTCCTGCTGACCATCAGCAGAGTGGACGACTTGGATATAAACCTGTTCTTCATGAGCCCCACAGACCGTTCAAGAGCACGTAAAACCATAATAACCAGATCGTTGAAGGAAAAGAGTTGGTAATCCCAAGTGAAAAGACGCCCCGTGTCATCTTTCTCCCATTTTTAATCTGGTAATCCTACTCATCCCTCAGGTGTCCGCTTAAAGGAGACTGTCTCTCTTGCTCTGGGAAGTCTCTGTCAGCACCCCCAGTGTAGAGTCTTTGCCAGGGCTCCCAAAGGGTTCATGAACTCTTCCTAGCAAAACACTTATTACGCTCTTAGCCTTGGGAAGGGGCAGACCGGACCCCACACTCCCTGGGCAGGCGCCGGGGAAAGCGATCTGCAGGTCAGCGCTCACAGAGGCCTCCACCCCCACCACCTCCGAAACCGCGCGAGACAGGCCACGCCCAAGGTCGCTGGGCCAGCAGGTGGCGGCCCCCACCCGGGTGGGAGCGCCAGACGCAGTAAACACAGGGGCGGGGGTGTGACGGCCATTACCTACCCGGACGCTGGCCCAGGGGAAAGAGGGGCAGGGACCGCCAGGGGACGGAAGGGCCACCAAGCCCCGGAGCGTTCCCTCTCAGGCCCGCCCCACCCCACGACGCGCCACCTCCCACCGACGTTCCGAAGGCACAGGTTCCACAGATCTGTCGGCCCCTCCACCGCCGTCGCTTCCGGGACGCGACGCCCTGCGGTGGCGCGCCCGTGACGTCATCGCGCCCGTCCCGCCTTGGGTCGGAGCTCCTCCCACCCAAGCGCAGGTGAGCGCCTGCGCGCGTGTCCCTTTTCTGCTAATCCTTGGTCAGCTCAACTCCAGGACTCAGTAAATGCTCCGGGTCCTTCTAAGACCTAATGCCTAGGGACCGGCCTAGCTCTTAGCGTAGTGAAGCACGTTTGTAATCACACAGTCCTTGGGATTCTGAGCCTGAAGTATTTCTAGTTCAAGGTTAGCCTTGGCTATGGGAGCTCCTGGCTCAAAGAAGAAGGGAGAAGAGAAGGATTAAAAAAAGAAAGAAATCTTGGGTAGAAGCTCAGTGAACCTAGGAAAGACAGAAAACACATCTTTTTATTATTGTTGTTGTTATTATTATACACTGTTTGGCCAGTAGCTCAAGTGTCTTATTGTATAGCTCTCTTAATTATTGATCCATTTCTATTAACCTGTGTATCTCCACGTAATCTTGGCTTACCAGTGATGCCTGGGCCTCTTCCTTTCTCATAAGCTACATGGCGTCTCATTGACTCTGCTTACTACCAAACTATATGTTTGGATTTCCCACCTGTCCATTGGCCAAAACAGCTTTATTCATCAACCACAGAAAACACATCTTGTATGTCAGGTGCCTACAGAGAGAATGGAGGTGGGTAGCTTCTGTCTTCACGATCCTGAGCAGGCCTTTCCTACCTCAGTCCCCTTCACATCTTGTGACCCAGTTGATGTCCCTTAAACCACATATCCCACGGTTTCCATTAGCCAGCAGCCAGCAGTACACTAAGCTTTTTGTGCTCCTTCTTATCTGGTCCTCTTTCAATAACCGTTCTGCGGTTATCACCATTTCACAGATGAGGAATTTGAGTCATGGTAAGTACCTTCTTTAATGTCACAGCACATAAACCTCTTGGAACTGGGATTTGAGCCAGATATATCACTGGATCCCAGCAACCCCAGTCACAACACCACCCACACAAGACTGCACCTACTGGACTTGTCTCTCTCAAGCGCATCAGTCTCAGCCAGCCGAACCCTCTCCCGTTACCTGCAAAACCCAGACTCCTGCCAACTCCTCAAATTGCCTGTCACACCCGCCTACCCTGCTCCTTCTTTCTATCCAAATCCAAACAACTCATCCTAGCAGGAGTCGGATGTCTGCAGCCTTCCCCGCTGCCCAGATGGCGACAACCACCCTCTCTGAAGTGTCCAACGCTACTGCCATGCTGTCTCCAGCATCTGTTTCAGAAAGACAGGTGCACTTGCTCCTCCAGCCAGGACTCAGCTGTCCTGGGAATCCCAACTCTTCTCACTTCCTCAAGGCCTGTGACTGTCCCTTGAGCTCTGAAATCCCTCACTGACACATCTCATCCTGGGAAATCTCTTCCGTGCCCCCTGTTCTCTTTACTCATCCAACTGACTGCGCGTTACTGTACACTCCTCACCGACTGTCATCCCGTCTTCCTGGGTCACCGGTGCTGTTCTGGCTGCTAAGCCAATGGACACTTCCAGTCTTCCTTACGAGGGCTCCTGGCAGCACTGTTCACTCTTCTGCTTGGGGGCGGGCACTGAGAGGTGGCTCATCAGTTAATAACACTTGCTGTTCTTGCAAAGGACCTAGGGTTGATCCCTAGCATTTATATGGTGGCTCACAACCTTCTGTAATTCTAGTTCCAGGGAGCCAATGTCCTCTTCTGACTTCCACAGGTACTGCACACACATAGTGTACATACATACATACATACATACATACATACATACAGGCAAAACACGAAAATAAAAATAAATAAATCATTTTTAAATATAGTAGGGTCCAGAGTGGTGGCTTGGCAGTGGAGAGCACTTACTAAGAAGTTATGATGACCAGAGTACAGATTTCAGTACCTACATAATAAGCTGAAGTTCTCAAACATACCTGCATCTACAGATCCACAAGATCTGATGCTCTCTTCTGGACTACGCGCGAGCGCGCACACACACACACACACACACACAGTCTTTACCATGTTCATTTTTACTCTAAATTCTACCAATACCATCCCCAACCTAGAAATCAAACAAGAGTCCTTGGAAATCCAGGGTTAAAGGATGTAGCTCAGGTGGTAGAGTACTTGCCTAGCCCTGGGTTTGATTCCCCTAAGCCAAGCCCAGGTATGGTGGTACGTGCCTATAATCTCAGCACTTGAGGGGTGAAGGCAGGAGTTTTAGGATATGGGGGTCAGTTACATAACAAGTTCAACACCAGCCTGGGATACATGAGACCTTGTCTAGAAGAAGAGAAGGAGAATCACCGTATCTTTGGAAGTCCACAAGCCTAGAATGCCAGAAGATCCAAAATCCACACAGCATTAGGCAGTCTGCTGGACTCTGCCCCCTCCTTTGGATGACTCCGTTTCCAGGGGCCTCCTTAGACTCTCATGCGTGCAGCTTCTGGAGGCCTGGCTTCTCCCTCTGCCGACCCAACAAAGAGAGGCCATCACCACTCCTGCTCTCGCCTCATCCGTCCTACACACAACTTTGCTCATTCTTCCACTGAGGACAGCGACCTCCCTGAGGCCCTGGCACAGTCAACTCTTTGGAAGCACCCCCCCCCCCGTGTGTCACATCTTCATTGCTGTGCCTCTCCATCCATACAGGGTTTGGGGTGGGGTGGGGACAGCCTACTATTTCCACAACTTGGCTTTTATCTCACGTCACCCCTTCAGGAAGTCTTCCTTCATGCACCCCATCAGTGGGTGAGGTGCCCATCCAGCTTGGTTCCATGGGCTTGCCCAGCCTAGCACTAGGCGCGTGAAAAGTTGTGGTCTGCTTGCTTGATGGTTCTTCTACCTAGAAGGAGGCTACTGGGGAAGCTGGCTGGAGTAACTTCTGTGCATCTAGCTTCTGGGACAAATGTTCCCCCAAGTGACCCATGTCTGTAAGAGTCTCCTCATGGCCTGGCCAGTTCTGAATGTTCACATTTCTTCCGATCTAAGACCCAGTATAATACCTCTTCCCTTAAAACACTGATTATAAAACTGTCAGGAATAAACAAATCTCACATTCCATCCTCCATGGGCTTTTAGTTCCATAGGAGACACTAACCTGACTCAGCCATAATGCAAAACAGTGGCTCCTCCAGTATTAAAGTATTGAGCAGCCAGGCGTTGGTGGCGCGCACCTTTAATCCCAGCACTCAGGAGGCAGAGGCAGGCGGATCTCTGTAAGTTCAAGGCCAGCCTGGTCTACAGATCGAGTTCCAGGAAAGACTCCAAAACAACACAGAGAGAGCCTGTCCTCTAAATAAATAAATAAATAAAGTATTGAGCATAGAGATGGGGTAGATTTACCTGCCTCTGTCCCCATTATTTCAATGACCTAACTGCCTGAAATTACACCATCAGTATCTCACTCCAAAGACAAATCTCATTTTCTTTGCAACTTTTCCTCCAGGATCTGATCTGAGGCTGGCTGTGGCTTGTGGCAGTGTTGATTTCATTTATTTATCTTCTCTGGCTGCTTTAAGATTGAGGAATACAATTCCCAAACTCCTAGACATTATTTGATACAATATTAGAGGATACAAGATGACGCTAAAGACTGAGTGGGACAATGAGCAAAGTCTTGCCCTGTTCATAAGACTTTGACCTGCTTGGGGTGGTGAACTGATTTCATTTAGTTTCAGTACTGGCAATGGCATCCAGAACCTGGCACAGGCTAGGCAAGTGCTATACAATTTAGATTCACCCTCAGGCATAACTGACGTTTTATAATTTAATTCTACTTATTTGTCTCCTCCTGAGAATCATGAACCCTCAGTCTTTGACTCAAACCTTGGTGCCCTGCAGACAAGAGGCTAAGAGAGAACAGAAAATGATCAAAGAGGGCACTTAGTAACTTAACTTAACATTTTCAGAGGACACTCTTTGCATTGGTACAAACGTATGTTTACGGCCCTCATAACTGCATCATAAACTAGCTATGGCCTTTGGAGGAATTCCAGGCTGACATGCTGCATGCAAGCTGGAAAGGGGGAATAGCTAAACATGCCTTCTGCCACCAGAGGGCTCCCTCGCCCACTCTTCCTGGGAACATGGCGTTCAGAAGCATCTCTGCTCTTAATGAAATTCAAGTTCCTGGCCAGATCTCCCAAGCCAGCCTCCATAATTCTCTCGTCACCTTCTGAATATGCCTTATCTTTCTCATGCTCCTCAATAAAATTGTACAAATTATTTCAAAACTTAATGAATCAGGGTTGGCCGGGTGCTTGCATACCATACACAAAGCGTTGGGTTCAGTCCCCAGCTCCACGGAAACTTGGGGAGATGCTTCACACCTGTGATCCCAGCGAGAAGAGGCAGTAGGATGCAGAGATGGAGCTAATGGCAGGAGGATCAGAAGTTCAAGGTCGTTCTCAGCTGCAGAGTGACTGTGAGGCCAGCCTGTGGTGCATGAGACCACGCCCCCACCAAAAAAGAAACATAGTTCCTTAATTAGCAACCAAAATACATTGTCTCACACTGTCCTGGGGGTCTGGGGTTTGGAGGAGTTTGAGTGAGCAGTTTGTGGGTTTTCATGTTGGCACCACCCGAATCTGAGGCTGGATGGAGCACTCGCTCCAGTGAGCACTGCCCACGTGGCTGCTAACTTGGTGTTGGTATTATCATACTGTCAAGCTAGCAGAAGGATCTGGTACCTTTTCACTTGGGGCTCTCCAGAGGGGTTCTTGAGAGCCTTAGTCGTGTGGTGACTGACATCCCAGAGCAAGAGATCCAACATGGAACAAGGTAAGAAACCAACCCCCTGTGAGAACTACCACCAGCAGGCACTCCTGGTCATTTTTACAATGCTGTATTGGGCTTACGGGTTAGTCCCTTTTGTGTGTGGAAGGGGGCTGGTGAGATGATTCAGTGGGTGACGATGCTTGCTGCACCAGCCTGCTAGCCTGAGTTTGACCCCCAAAACCAGTATGAAGGTGAATGAAG